TGGAACAATTATTATATGTTTTGCGGCCGTAGTAGGATACGCACCTGCGACCACGGCCAGACGCAGGTGGGGTTTTGGCGGGTTTGCACCAATCCGACCAGGGGCTGCCTGGCTTGATGCGGGCAGTAGCAAACCATTGAACATCCGGAGGTGTCCTCCCACCGCCGGAGACAATGCGTGGCACTCGTGCTCTACGCCAATCGAGCTGTGAGCTTATAACCCGTAAACCTGTTGTCTCCCATGGCTAGGTTTTACGGGAAATGGACCATCGACCACTTCCTAACCTCCGAAGAGGATGGACTAGGATACTGCCAGGGCGCCCACACCTGACAGGAGAACGACTCGGGTCCTCAGCCAAAGCCTTCGATTAAATGAACACCCGAAATGCAGCGGGTATAGCACATGGTCAGTTCACTGACTCATGCGGATTGGTGTCCTGGATCTTAGCAGGGAGAAGGGCGAAACCCAAATCCCACCCAGCGGTCGCCACGTGGAGGCGCCCAGGACATGAGCAAATGGCACAACAGTAGCAGCAGTGGGTAGAAGATCTGTCAGGATCTCGCCACCACCAGCCTCAGCACACCATAGCCTCTCCCGCCTATATATATATATATATATATATATATATATATATATATATATATATATATATATATATATATATATATATATATATCCAGCAAAGTGCAGTCCATAGAACGACCAATTTTCGGTAATATTTCGATATCTTTAAAGCAAAATTTAAGGCTGTAGAAATCCCAACTTGTAGCGCCAAATTTGGTACCTTGTGTAAGACAAGTGTCTACCATGTGCCTAAAAGATCTTGGTCCAACTTTTGCTACGTTCATTCCCACCATGGATCGAATGCAGATGCACCTTAACTGGATTTTCAAAGAAACATTGTGATACGCATGAAAACGGCGCGGTTATATTTACTACTGTAAGTCCCTGTGTCTGGAAAAGCCGGCCACAAACGAAGCTGATTGGTTCCTTGAACGATTAATAATGGTAACGCAAGTCTCCACATGACCAATATAGCCAGCTCGCATTATCCAATGTTAGCACGTTGTATCTACCCTATTAGTTCCACATTTTTGCTTCATTCTTCGCAACGTACACTCTCTGTGATGAAGTAGCTAATGGCAGGCACACCTAAGTTTAACTATCACATAAGAGTTCATAAGTGTTTTATTGCTTGTAATAAGTCCAGGCAAGGAGGTGGTTGCGCCATATACGTTCACACTGTCGTGTGTCCATCAACGGCCAACGTTTCTCCACATAATTACTTCGAAGACTCCGTGTATGTAAATGCACAAGTTGATGGTCACATGTTACTCCTCGGATGTGTAGACAAGCATCCAAATTCCAGTGTCGCAAAAGTTAATGTACTTCAAAATACGTTCTATCATGTAGCTGACCCACCAGCCAAGTATAAGATAATCAGTGGAGATTACAAAATGCCGGATCTAGCGTGGATCTCAAGCTATGTACATACCAAATACATGAATATGGTCGCCACTCTACACTCAAACAGGTGCATCCAACATGTCAGATCACCAACTTGAAAGCATTATATACCTAATATTCACCACTGGCATATTATCAGCATACACTAAAGTTTTTGAGCACTTTCCTGGTAGTGATCACAGAGTAGTATCATTTTTATTCATTGATCCCACACGATAGCAAATATCGGTCGTGTCCACCTTTTAAACACATTCCAGGAATTATAAAGGCATCGATTGGGATCTGCTCTCCAAATGAATGAGACCTGCTCAATGGGACAGCATTTTCCTTACTGAAGACTCACAAATCGCTGTAGATGTTCTACACAACATTTGAGAAATTTAACACAACTTGTATCGGAAAACCGAGCTGCCTCGGCAGTCACAAAGCACTTGCTTACCACCGGCCACCGAGCCAATCCTGATGAGTCCTTCACTGTCCTACTGCGCGATCGGCGGTCTTCCATGCTTAGGCCATTGGAGTCCATCGTTATCGATCGTGAGGGAACCCTGCTATGTACTCAAAAGCAGTTGACTGTGACTTTACGCCTACTCTGGTAGCGCAAATCTGGAGCTATGTTTGATAGCTTTGACATTGTTGGTTGTTCATTTACATATCATTGCTTCATGGTTTTCTGTTTGATAAGAATGTGTGAAATGGCGACGTCATCTCACAATCTACGTCTGCTGATTTTCCTGTTTGGATTTATATATGCATTGATGCACTGGCTCCCACGGTGCATCGAGACTTTCACCACAGTAACCTGACGCATATGTCATGTAAGACAACCATAAGGCTGAAAAGTTGCTAACGACATATCGTAAAACAAATGACTTCTCTTCTTGGAACAACACCAATAGTTTACCACAGCACTAAAGCTGGCATGTCATAACAAAGATATCCCTGATAAAGAAAAGTCCTCTGCAGCCAGCGTAAAATTCGTGATCTAGTCAACATTTTAAAGTGTAGGAATACCAAAGGGAGTCAAGACGATCTCACTCGTTACGGCAGATAACCACATAATTAATGACCCGACCCACATCAGTGAAATCTTTAGTCAGTACTTCTGCGCCGCCTTTATTGTGAATAATGACTCCCAAAATTAGATATATCACCAACAACAATTGATCGACTCACTCGTGCCGTTTGAGCTCCGTGACATACAAAAGCTCGTAAAATACAAAAGCTATCCTACTTCGACAAACCAGATAAAGTACCTCTTGCACCTATCAAACTCGGGGCCGTCGACATACCCTTACTTCTACTGAATACGTTCTCCACACCCATGAACTCCGGCACTGTACTAACACAGTGGAAAGAAGCCATTGTCATACCACGACACAAATCAGGCTTGCTGTTCGAAACAAAGAACTATTCTCCAATAACTCATACATATATCTTATCTAAATTGATGGAGCGACATATAAAAACTGCACTGGTCGACTTACTACTGTCTCGTAAGTTAATCAACGACTCTCAACACGGCTTGCCGAATGCACCTTTGTACATAACTTGCCAACTAGAATTGCTACATCATCTGACTGCCTCACAGGATACAGGCAATTCTACAATCGTTATTTACCTCGATATGTACAAAGCTTTCGATCGAGTGTCACATGGCAAACCAATATCCAAATTGATGTCGTATGGAATAGGGTAACCCATGTTTTCGTGATTCAACTAGAATCTCACAAATAGAACGCAGGTAATACAGATACGGGAACACAAAGCTAAACCAAGAGCAGTAAAAAGGGGTGTAGTACAGGGCAGTGTCCTTGGTCCTACGCTGTCTTTGTTGTATGACATATTTGACGCTGTGAAATGCGGAACACCATATGTGTTTGCCGACGCTATCAAAATTCTCTACACTTTCCACCCCACTATCATAAACAGAACTATCAATAAAATTCAGCTCGACCTCCATACGCTCGGGTCCTGGTGCTCAAAGTGAGAGATGTTATTTACGACAGATAAATGTTAGGCTGTCATATAAACGCGACATAGCAACTAGCAGTTTAACCATTTGTGACAAACAAATTACTATCTGTCTGAGACTGAGATACCCATGCTTCCACATCTTCTCCGAACAAGTACCCTACGTCACCGCAAAGACCAGGCAAAGCACTGGAATGTTATTTAGAATTTTCAAAGTAAAATAATCCATACTCTGCGTTTATTCAGCACTTTCACGTCCTCCTTTGGAATACTGTTCCATGGTGTACGGTAGGGCGACCAAACGAGAGCGCATGGTAGTAGAAAATGTACAACCAACATTTACCAAGCACCTATTAAGAACACCATAGAAATTAGAATCTTCTGAACGATGTGAAGAACTCAAGCCTGAGCCCATCTGGTTAAGGCGAATGAAGCACAAGCTAACCATTTTCTATAACACCATGTACACGCAAATACTTGTTTCCAACCATAACATTGCAATACTACAATCGCAATTATACGACACACGAAATAGGGACGATTCAGTGGTGGAATGCAGGTCGAAGACCACCAGATCCGCTAACTTCTTCCTCAACAGATATGCATCAATCTAGAATAAACTGCAGACCTGATATCCGTGGTAGCAATTTCCAACAGGAATTTTGAAAAAGGACCAGCAAACACTAGCCCGTGCAAAATGTAATCCATCTGTTGGGATGTCACAGAACGAACAGTTAGGCATACGAACGCGGTCCAGGATTTATATGATCCAGTAAGCAGTCTACAACCCAGAACGAATATTGTAATAGTAATGTCCCTATACTCACCGTCTTCATCTGTGTTCCTCCGTCTTACCTGTGCTAACGACAAAGTCATCACCAACGAGTGTATTATGAGGGTGAATGTCATTCAAACACACCTTCACATCCCCATCTTCATTGCCGATGTCCCTACTACTTTTGCTGCAGTTTACTCTTACGTTTCTCTATTATAGGTGCTCGGCTTTCTCCGGTCTAATGTGAGTGCCAATACCAGGATTCGATACTACTAAATAACTATGAACAAAGCAGCCATCAAATGTGCTAAAAAATTCTTGATACCTACTTTATACATTTCAGTAGTAATCTCCTCAAGAGACCTACCAAACCCGACTGACATTCTGTACAACATCACGGAACACATTGAAACAACAGGCAAATTTGATATCCTATCAAAATTGAAAAACGATTTTCATTCCTGTTGTACATTTTTCCCAAAGGGTAGATGAAGTAGAAATGTTTTATTTACCTGAACGTGCCACAGGCATGTCTCGCCAAAAATTAGAATATGCAATTTATTCATTTATTTATTAACTAGAAACGCTGTTAAAAGCCAGTCTAACCGATCATCAGCTGGAAATGAAAACGAAATCATTTCGGTGTCGGACAAAGAAAATCTTCACTGAGAGTACAAGAAAAATACTTCTGTTGTGTCGCTAGTCGGACATTCGATGGCAGGTCACCTCTGACCCATTTGATTCGAAACGATCAAACAAGAACATAAATGTATTCCCAACTCACCAGGAAACAGGATGCGGGATATCATGCCGGGAAATATTAGCAACCAAAGTGGAAGAAGTTTCAGGAATCCAGCAAGAATGCATCCAGACTTGGCGTGGGTGAGGTTCTTGGCAGATAAAGTTCGCTGCACAATAACCTAGTTAAGGAAATGCATACATTTAACATGTGAACTTCAACATCTACTTGATAGTAGTAAGACCACTTTGATTTAATAATGCACGACGACAATCTCAATCACCACTGTTGTGCTCCGCTAACCAGCCAGAATAAACACCCTGCATTCAACCGTTTTAAGTACGCATAGTTGCACCTAATTATGAGCACGTGATAACATAATAGAAATGCACACACAACAACGAGATCTTTCTGAGTGAGGTATCCAGTTTCAAAATGTACGACTTGATTAATTCAACATCTCTAGACACTAAACCACTCAAGATGAGTGTCAATTTTAGTTAACTGTACACCATTTCGCATCCGCTTAGGTCCTAAATCAAGATAAGTATAATCAGTAAGTAGTCCAAAAGACTAGCATCAACGTAACACTGCAAATGTCACATCAGGACGGATCCAGTGGCACACATTCATGCACTACTTCTTTCAAGCAATGAGCGACAACTGGATCTAGTTTTAAGGTTTATTTCTAGAATGTTTAGATGTTAACAATACGACACCTCTGAAGTCATTGTCTAAATGCAGTTTGTAGAACCGCATACTGCATCAATGCTTTCTACATTTCCAGTGTACTACCACATTGTATTGCAGCAACACGCCATCGGACTACAAAGGTACCACTGTTTTAAAGCGTACAGCACTGGGTTCGTAGCAAGTACTAGTGCAGCAAGTTAGGTTGAACTATTTACACTTGTACTCAATGTTTTCGGTTGCCCGAAGCACTGTTTCCTGCTAGCCTACCAACCATTCAGTTCCTTAAAAAACATGGGGACTGAGAGCTCGTTAGGATTATGTGCTCGCAGTACAATGTGATGTCCTAGTGCATCGACTAATAGTGTCATTAACATTGTTGAGGAGGAGTTTTAAATTGTTGCGGCTTTAAATTGCCCAATTGGTGTTGGTAAATCGTAAGTAGCTCAGGAACTCCTGTAACAATATGATGATTTTCATACATTGTCTGTGAGGATTATGTAGAACGCTATTTGGAACTATCGTATTACAATTTTAGTCAGCCTTTTTCGTTCGTCTAGTCTTACTATGGCCGCACACCAGGCGCCACGGCTGCATCACTTCTAAAGCCGTGTCATGCGTTAAACAGCGTACGGTTCCCGTGTGAATATTCTGATAGACTCTCTTATCCCATTCATTGTCAGAAATGCATGCTTCAATCGAACTGTAACCGACTGAAAACTATCGGTGAGAAGAATTGACGATGGATGAAGCGTGGCGAGCCTATTAACGTACGTCTAATGCTGGGCTATAAAGCAATACGAAAGAAGTCAGTCAGATATCAACTGTTCGCTTCATCAGATGTATAGTGTTTGGGTTACTACTTCGAACTGGTTTAAAATTCTTAGCTTATGTACCGGTGGTGAACAGAGTTGTCGCCTCTAGCACAGTTCATATCATCGGGTTGGTGCAGTTCTTAGCATTCTTTTCACTGACTTACTGCGGTCATCGGCAAACTAACGATCCGGACCCATGTACAAGGATTGGAGGAACGATGGGGATCTAAAGGTTTTTGTTGAATACATCAGAACGGTTTAAGGAGGTAAATATCAAACATCTGGAAAGAGCTCTGAATGGTTGACTTAAGCTGGAGACCCAGTCGGTAGTGTGCCCACGGTAAAAGCCACTGCTGTTGCATTAGGGAAGGCAAAGGTTAAGACTGCTTTTAACCGTAAATGTCAGAAGTTGACATGTCACTATCCGTTCCTCACTCCATACTAATGCGTAGTTAAATTGCATATTTGTTCGCCGAGCTTGAAAATTTTTACAAAAGCTTCGCCACCATGCGGAGTGGCATCTTCAGTGCGCGGAGATGCAGAGTGACATCTTGCTGATTGAATCGTCACTGTGTGATTGACCTGCAGGTGAGTTTTGAAAGTGACGGCTTCGATCTGCGTCCCGTGATCTCTACCAATTTCTCCGTGGCGGAACTCGTCGCTCGAGTTGTGCCTATTCAAGCAGCGTCTTGTAATTTCTCAAAATGCTTTCCATCGGAGGGGCTGGTATAATGTGTCGATGTCGATACTCATGTTGACTGTATGTCGCTGCCAACTAGACTTCCAGCAACTCCCTTTCCCTTCTTGTTTCGCCTCGTGCCAGGACTTCGGTTTTGGTTCAATTGAAGGTGTGTACTTTTACGTCCACGTGCGCTAAAGCTAGCCATGATACATAGTGCTTTTTGCACGCTATTTTGTGCTCTTGTATTCCTGTTGCTATTTTACTCCTTGTTTGGTCAACACAGTCCTTTAGGCAATTTGCACTATGTAGTCCATGTGCTTCCAGTTTTTCTTTTGGTGTTGACAGCGTTTTCCTCAACGTGAAAATTAGTTTGTGTGCTACGATGAGATGATGCTGATTGAATGGCCTATCTGCCATTTTGGATTGGTTTTTCATATGAGGCAAAACAACCCGTCTTGTCATCGTTGCTGTAGACTGTTGGTTAGCGTTGTTGTGGTACAGACACCTTCGGATAAAACTTCGCGAGTATCCGTTGAGTTGGAAACATGTAGGTAGATAATTGGAGGGTCAAGTTTGGACTACACGTTGTGTGATTGGATTGCGACGCGCAATCTCAATTGAGATTGCGCGTCGCAATCCAATCACACAACGTGTAGTCCAAACTTGACCCTCCAATTAGTCATTACCGTTGAGCCAAAAAGCGTTGCCCACCGTGACCCGGTAGCCAAAGGGGTAGTGGTGTGGGCTACTATTCCAATGGTAGCGGGATCGAGGCCTGCTGTCTCCACCTGATGAGATGAAATTACATCGAAACGCGTCGTGGTTGTGCAGTGTTTCCGGGTGGGCAACACCCAATTTCCATCTATATAGGTAGATACTTTTCTACTAGTTGCTTTGCTTCCGTGGTACTGCAGTGTCTTTGTACTGTACAAACTAGTGTCCGCATATAGCTTTGTGGCATTTCGGGTGGTTGCTGTTAAAGTTCAATATTTGGTCCGTAGGTATCCCATTCTTGTACAATGATGTTTGCGGCCTCACTTCCACAGTTCTGGTTACTAATATGTCCAGGAAAGGTAGCTGGCTTGCAGGCTGGCCTGACGAACAACCTCCTCCTGGCGCCAGCTGGGTGGTCCGGGAATATCTCTGTCCAGCGAATGGTTCAGCGTCAGTGTAACAGGGCGCGGTGGGTTTTCGCCTGGCAAGCCTTCTCCCTATAAAAACTCACATGTGTCCGTTTAACAACACTGCGACGTGGCGGATGTGACTCGCCACTAAATCAAGTCACTGTCCTTTATTTCACTTTGGTGCAGCATTGTATCCCAGCACTTGGCTGCTGAAATTGTGAGGAAGATTGGGCCCCTGTTTGGCTACTTACCAAAGGAAAGGCGTGTGAACTGAGCAATCAGTCATCGGCTCTCAATGAGTGCGAATCCCTGACTTCCCTTCGCTGCTTTGCGGGTGCGCTATTGCGCCAAAAGTTCGGGGTGGAGTCCCCTAAGACAACTCGCTACTTCGGTTTGGGCAACCGGGTAGTATCGTGCCCTCTGTGAAAACCATGGAGTTTGCACTTACTACTACGTCGCTTACTTCGGCTACTACTTTCGCTGCTACTCGTGCTTCGTCATCACACGCCAACTTCTCTCTTGTTGATAATCCACGACCTGTTGAATCAAGTTCCAATGCCCATCTCGCTGGTATCCAAATCATCCGGTCATCAGCTATCCTTTGACCTCGTACTTCATTCCGTCTGGCAGTGTTCTGTGTTCGGACCCACATACAGCTTAGACAACAGGCTCGCCTGGCGCACTCCAGAGTCCCTCGCTATCCATGTCTGTTGCCTTTCAGACACTCGACTACAGGATCTCATCACCGTGGTTAAATTGTCGTCCCCAGCTGCTCTTGAGACCACATATTACCTATGTCTGTCTAGTGACATGGAGGCAACAACAACCAGCTTAGCTGGTGTCGGTATCGCATTGAGTGACAAAACGGAGGCTGCATTACTAGACTACTTTTCAATCGACAGCCGGGTGGGCGCGGTTCGGCTTCAACGCTCATGTAGAATCAACAGATATCGTGAGGAGAGGCGCAATTTGCTCGCCGTTTCCGCCTACGCTCTAATCGACTGCAGCCGTGCATCGATTAAGGATGACTTTTATCGTGATCTACACAACCTTTTGAACAAGGCCGAAAAGTCAGATGTCATCGTCCTTGCTGAAGATCTCAATGCACGAGTAGGTCGCCTGCTTCCGTGCGAACGTCATCTTGATGACAGTCACGCGCTTGGTGAAAGCCGTTCTGACTACGTTGACAGACTTGCTACGTTACGCGAAGAATACCGTCTGCTTCTCGCAAGTACGAATTTTAGGCATACCAGAAGACGTGCAGCCCCTTGGTGTCCTCCTTCACCAACGCTAGCTTGGTAACAAATAGATCACATTGCAATCAGCTTGAGATCGCGAGGCAGCGTCCGGGGTTGTAGAGCGATTTGGTCTACGTACCTCGATTCAGATCCTGCTTTGGTCTGCGCGGACCTCTGCATGCGCTTCGGCGGCTCCTCAAAGCAAAAGCTCCATACGCTCGACACCAACAAGTTAGGTGACCTCTCTACTCGATCAACTTATCAAGCTTCCTTATCGCAAATATTCATTGGGGCTCCACCACAAGACATTAAAAATCATTTGAGTTTCCTGCATGAGGCGATGCTAACTTCTAGTCATTAAATCTGCGGAATCACAAGGCGCACTGTGAGGGGCTGGATTTACGCACACTCATTGGAATTGTTTGATCATCGCAGAGCTACCCCGGCCGATTCAAATAACAGTGTATAAGGTCGCATTCTCACCCAACGACAAGCAAAGCCTGCGTGCTGATCGCGAAACTTGGTGGTCGCAGCGCACCTCAGAGACGGTAACGACAACCGTCTGGAAACTTCCGCAAGCTCTTCCAGGTCTTTCGGGTCACTGGTAACAAAAGACCTGTTGTCAGTAAGGT